GAAAGAGTGGGGGTGTTATAGTTGCCTAGTGCTTTTCCATTCCTTCCAAAAGATGTGTTATCTCTGTTTTTTTGGCAATCTCCTGTTAAGAGGCCATTTGGTTTTGTGTAACAGAGGTAATGAAAGGTGTGAGGTTTGGGATCAGAGGTGCAGCGTTAGTCAGCTCTGCTGTCTCCTGAGCACTGGAATTAGACATGTGCCTTATGAGTTATGGGCATCTATCCTCTCTTAAAATAAAGACCACTTTTTCTGTTCTCTTGCATGCTAGGTAGGCAGCAGGTTTGAGAGATGGAGCAGGTACAAAGCTCAGTAATTTGAGTGGGACTCCAGAGTGTAGGTGTTTTTTGAGCATTGCTTCAGGTAAAGTATGTAAAGGCAAAGGCATCTCTTGGTGTTTAAACTCCTGGCAGCTGCCATTGGCTTTAAGAAATAGTTGAAGCATTGAGAATGGCATCAGTTGTGTTCTTTTCTTGAGTACAAGGGGCTGAGGTTACTTCTTATTTTGCTACCAGTAGAAATGGGCCACGTACTTACTAAGGGATATTTTTATATGTGTGTAATTAAGTTTATTATTTTTATAACTGCCAAGACAAGCTCTTATCTTTATGAGTTTGTTGCAGACATGCTTAAGTAGACTTCTGGTTTCTGTTGAATTTTACAACTGTTGTAAAAAGTGCCTTGTGTTGATGTTTTTAACATGCACAGCTATGATTAAAATATAAAAGCAGGAAGATTAATCATTGCCTGAATATTTGAATACTCGAATTTGAGTATTCACTGAATACTCCGTGAATTTTTACACAGCGACAGTGCTAAGCTATTTACCTGCTTTTTATTTTCTGGCTGAGCTTTAAACTTTCCATGTCTAACCTTGATGTATAGTCTTCTTACAGGAGCTCTAGAGTGGTAGATTATTTTAGGTTTTAAGAGGCAGTATTCCCAAAGGTTTTCCTCACTCTTTTTGTAAACTGCAAAAACATTTCCAGTTCTTGGCTCCAGCAAGACTGTTAAGAGTCCAGCCAGCCAAACAACAAAAAAATTCAGCTCTTATATTCCAGTTGAAATACAACTGGAAAAACTGATTTTACTTTTTAAGCCACAGCAACGTCTTCCCCCCTCAATATTTAGTCACTTCTCCTTTCCCCCATGTCCCACATTTGTGCGCACACGTATATTCTTTGTTCAGGAAATATTAACTGTTTGAGTGCAGATAAACACCATTCCTGGGTTTTACAAGAGTTGTCTGTAAACCTTGAACTTCCCAGTGAGTCGAGGTGATGAGGGCAGTTTAACAAAGGTGAAACATCAGCTGTGGACCCGGTATCACCTTCCCGGGTGAGGCACAAGCAGGTGGCTTTGGTTGATCTCCCAGCTGTGTCTGAGGCAGAACCTGCCAGCACACAGAGAGGAGCTGCCCTGCAGGGACCCCCTCATTGCTGGCCAAAGGGGGCTTGGACTGAAAACAGGCAATGGGATTTTCATCAGAGAGGGGGTTAAAGATGGATGCGAAGTTAAAAATAGTGACAGCGTGAAAGAAGAACCAAAATATATATATAGGAGGAGACACGAATTGCAGCGCAGTGAGTGTCAAGTGTTTGTGTGGGGAAGAGGAGAGATGAAGCTGTCGCTGGAAGGAATGAAGGTACACCAGGAATTTCTGTAAAAGACAAGCTGAAAAGGTGAACTAAACAACTTAAAGGGAAAAGCAGCAAGGAAGAGAAACTAAAAATACCCTAGCGAATGGAAATGTTAGTTTGTCACTTCTCTGCTTGAAAGGGAATAGGAGGTCTGTTCCTGAGCTGTGGTGTGTATTGTCACGGCACACGTCGTGCAAGCCTGCAGGAATTCTTCAGAGATTATTGATTCAGTAGGTAATGATGGCAAAATATAGGTGCCTTAAGGACACACAGCTGTGAGTGCCTCAAAAAAAGGCAGAATTTAACTGTTTATGTAATTCAGTGGTCATTGCAACACAGGACAAATTTTTATTCATTTTTCTTCAGCTAGGTTGAATTGAAAATTCAAATGCTGATGAAATGCAGTGTATTTAAATATCCTGAGATGTGTTGGTAATGCATCCTAGCTTTGTGGTGTGGGTTACCTGTTGTTTGGGTTTTCTTCTTTCCAATGCAGTCAGTGTGGACCAGGCTGTGACTTGCTGAATGATCTTTGCCACTTTTGCAATCTGTGTCTTGCACCAACTTTTTGTGGTTGAAGAGTGAATTAAATTTTAAAATCATGAAACTTTTAGGATGCCCTTCTTTGGAAAATAACTTTTATTTGCTCTAGAAAAAAAAAAATGGTTTGTTGCTCACTGTGAAGGATTAGGGTTTTTCAGGGCTGGCTTTAGAGGGGGAAAATGAAGTTTTCACACATTTCTGTTACATTTCAGTAAAAAGTGGTTGTTTTAGGTCACCTCCTTGGACTGAAAAACCTGCTGCATGTTTGAACAGCTATTCTGATTATTTGAATTGAGGCTAGTCTGCTTATATGTTATTAAAGTTACACTTGTCCTTAATGTCTTCAAATAACTTCTGTTTTCACATGGAAGTACCTATATAGAGTCAAGTAACTTTCTGTTTTTACTTACATACCAAAATAACATTGTTGCACAGACAACACTTACTGTGTGTAACGAAACATTTTAGTGAACCTTTTAAAAAATCCCACAAACCAAAAAGGCCCACCACTTTTTATCCATTTGAATGTTAGAGCCAGGCAGAGCAGTTTCTTTGAGTGGCTTAATGAAGATTTGATTGATTTATTTTGCTCATCTGGAGGGTGTGTGGATTATGTCTGTCAATACTTGGCATGATAAATGAGGGCTGAACACTTAGCAATTTGACATGTTTTGGCTGTTCAGGGTTGGGCAAGTGACTTGATTCAAGGAGAAATTGCAGAGTGACCTGTGAGATCTTCTGAGGTAGTGGGTCGTGGTGCAGATCAATGACTAGAAACTGATATTGAGCACATCTATATGTGAGACTGGGATTGAAGTGTTGAAGAAATAGTTGTCTTTTGATCAAGCTTTGAAGACTAGCAGGAAGATGTTCTTTGACCGTATGCAAATATAAATGACAAGGTTAAGGCAGGACTGCTGGGTGAAATGCAGTGGCCTAACTAGCAGGAAGATATTCTTTGACCATATGCAAATATAAATGACAAGGTTGAGGCAGGACTGCTGGGTGAAATGCAGTGGCCTGGGATTGCACAAGAGGTAAGAGAAGGTGATGTCATCCCTCTTTTGGGGGAGTAGTCAAAAGGAAAAGAAAGTCTTTATTTCTGCACTTTCTTTTAGCCAAAACAAGAGAAATTGAGGAGTTACATGGCATGAATATGATGAACAAACCCTAGTTTCTTAAACTTGGTACAATGTTTGTCAAAAGTCTTCCAAAAAATCTACTTCTTGGACAGAGCTCTACAGTGTGTGGTGGTATGTGGACAGTTTGCACCAGTGACGTTGAGTTCTGAAGGGCTCAGGAGTTCATGTCATGGAGACCCTTCCTTGCTGGCAATATTGAACCTTGGGTAAAGACCTACCTGAATGCATGTCATTGTTTAAGACTAATGCAAAGTAGTGTAGATACAAGTATTTTAGTTACTTGTTTGCCATGTTTTTCTGACCTGTGTTTCTGTTTTAACTTGTAGATTTTGGATCTTTGTTTGACTTGGAAAATGATCTTCCTGATGAGCTGATCCCCAATGGCGAATTGGGCCTTTTAAACAACAGTGGCAACCTTGTTCCAGATGCAGCTTCCAAACACAAACAACTTTCCGAACTTCTGAGGGGAGGCAGCGGCTCTTCCTTAAACCCAGGAATTGGAAATGTGAACTCCAGTAGCCCTGTCCAGCAGGGAGTTGGGGGTCAAGTTCAAGGGCAGCCAAACAGTGCTAATCTTGGTAATCTGGGTGCTATGGGTAAGAGCCCTTTAAACCAGGGAGACACTTCTGCTTCGGGCCTGGCAAAGCAAGCGGCCAGCACCTCTGGACCTACCACACCTGCATCACAAACTCTGAACTCTCAAGCACAAAAACAAGTGGGGATGGTGACAAGCAGCCCTGCAACATCACAGACTGGACCTGGGATATGTATGAATACTAATTTCGGTCAGACACACCAGAGCCTTCTCAACAGTAATTCTGGTCACAGTTTAATGAACCAGCCTCAGCAAGGACAAGGGCAGGTAATGAATGGATCTCTTGGGGCAGCTGGAAGAGGAAGGGGAGCAGGAATGCAATATTCTGCCCCTGCCATGCAGGGGAATGCAGGCAGTGTGCTGGCAGAGACTTTAACCCAAGTATCTCCACAGATGGCTGGTCACACTGGGCTGAACACAGCACAGACAGGAGCAATGACTAAAGTATGTACATCTAATTTAATATATTCTGTTTATTGCACTTCGTTTTTCTCCTTACAGGTATTTAGGAAATGTAATAGATTCTTTTCTGCAACAGAGCTGCAGAATGCACTTTCTTGAGCTTGTAGTTATCTGTTTCAGTCACCAGTGGTAACATGAAAGCAAGATAATTGAAACAGTATTTCCCATGTAATCAGAAATGAAAGCACTTGTTGAAAAACACATCCTTGAAGTTAAAAGTTGGATAGTATGGCAGCAAGGTAGTTGGGAAAAGCGTAGCAGAATCCTGCAAAAGGGAAACAGATGATTACTTCTTGGTGCAGCTGCCAGGCCACACTGTCTTAAAGCAATTTGAAAATTGTTAAGAGAAATATTTCAGAATTTGAGAGGTGCAGCAGTTGGTCCTCTTGTCAAGGACCACTGTCAACAGCTGTGCGGTGAATGTTTTTCAAGTATAGAGGGACTGAGCTGAAAACGTCACATTTCACATTGATTGTCAAGCTAATGCAAACTCTGTGAGAGGGAAGGGGCAGTGTCTGGCCAAGAAGTGTCATTTGTTGGCCATGGCAGGTTGGGGCAGTGAATATACACACCTGGGAGTATCTGCAGGTGTGGGGCACTGCTCTGATCCCTCTTGGTCTGGTCATTGCTTTGTATTTCTTCGTTTTCCAGGCATGAGCTTAGAGAATTGTTCTGATTGCTGTTGCTTCTGCCCTTCAGTTGCATAGCAGTGTGCTTCATCTCTTGTCTGTGTTACTTTGGGACAGTTCCTTCCTGAAATTAAGATGGCAGCCCCACCTTTTTCAGATTATCAGAGATGAAATTGACTTTTTTTTTACATACTTTATCTAGTTATACGTTGATTGTTATTCTTGTTGTAGTTTATTAACATCCAAGTGTCAATTAATTGATGTATCAGGAATCATGGAAAAGGTTGCCTGGCATAGAAGAAATAATGTTCTCTGAAGAAATGCTGACATCTCTGTGGAGTGCTGGGTAGTTAATTTTCCAAAATGAAAATATAAAAAGCATTCTCTTGGCATTGAATAGGATCCCTTTGCTTAAAGAAAAGAAACTTGTGATTTCAGGGAAGGTCAAAGCATGTGAAAGTGGCTGTAGCTCTGTCCAGGCTCTGAACTGGCTGAATTTGTTGTGTGGGGAGGATTGGTCTGCACAGAAAAAAATTCAGCTTACCTTTCATTTCTTTTTCTTTGAAATGTATAAGAAGAGGGACAAAATCTAATTATGTGGATTATTTCTAGAATGATTTTCTGAGCTCTTAGATTTTTCCTAGTCACTACACTATTATGTGATGAAACTACTACTTTTTTTTTTTTATGTGGACTAACTCAAGTAGAATTACCCCAAAGCAAAAAGACTTGCCTAAGGTCTTCATCTGCTGGAGTATGTATGAGTCTGGTGGGAGAGGCTCTGTGATGTCTTAATTTCTTTTAAACAAACCCACCCCCTGGTAAGGAGTAGACCAGCACTCAGACAAATTCCATTGTTCAAGGACTTCAGTCTTAGCCTGATGCCAGCTACAGATGGGATTCACCAGCTCAGTAGGACAACCTGGACTTTCTCACTTAGCATATATTCAAGAAGTAAAGGTTAATTTGACCAAGGAATATGTTGCAGAGGAATAGTGGAAGTGCCCCTGTTACAGAGATCGGTGGGTAATCCTTGTATGCAGTGCTGTGCTCAGCATTGCTGGTGCATTTCCAAAAGACTGGAGCAAATTTATTGCTTTCAGAAAACCTTAGACTCAAAGTTGTTTGGGAAAACGGAAGAGGACTATTTAATGACAGCCCATAAGTGATAAAATCATGCTTCTGTAGAGGTGCTAGCACTTAAAAGAATTTTTTTAACTTGGCCAATTGAAAAAATAGCAAATCTGGGGTTTTTTTCCAGGGCTCCATATCATGTTAGACAAGATGAAGCTTAACAAGCATTTTGTGGTTCTTTTTTTTAAGAAGTTTTACTTTATTTATATCTAAATTTTCTCATAGTTGGATACAAGCAAGCTCAATGTTTTACACAAGGATTTTATGTTACCATTTGGGACCAAATTCCTTGCTCCCTGCATTTTCTTCTGAGAAGTGCAAGCATTCTCTCTTTTTATTTCCCTCAAAAGAAGGATTTCCCTTAATTTGAGGCTTGACAACTTCTTCCAGTCTCTTCCCATCCCCCATTTTATTGTCATAATAGGATTATGAGCCATGATAGTGTTACCTTTTTCTCTAGTTCATGCTGCAGTTGTGATGAAAACTGTAAAGAAAAGTAAAGAAACATTTGTCAGTTTGTTCTTCTGAAACTGCAATTTCTGCTGAAGGAGAAGGTGGGGCAGGTTTTTTTCACCTCCTGTTCTCTGATGTTTACGAATGTATGTGTACAGCTTAAAAGATTTGAAGAGGAGCAGTAAAACTGATCTACTGCCAGTGAACGTGCCTAACTTAACTAAACAGCTTAAAATGTAGCTGCCATCATGCTTGAAGAACTGTATCAGGGCTGGGAGCAAATTCTGCAGGTGGTGACTGTAGAGATATATCCTGAGGGAAAGAAAGAGGAGTGAAATACAAATGCAGAAAAAAATCTAAAAGGACTTTTTAAGCCAAGATTTTTTCATTATGTTAACTCGATGTGCAGCACTGATTAACCACATTCAGCTATGGCTCAGAAGCCTCTTTTTCTCAATTCAGTGTGTTTTATGTGCAGTGTGTAGCACTCCTGACCCTCTGTGAGTTGGGACCAGTTGTGTTGGGCAAGACTCTGCTTCCTTGATGGTTTGTTCTAATCCTTTTTTAGTAAATTACTGAAAGTCCACTGCTTTTTCTGTTTTTCTTGTGGTATGTTTTTATAAGGATTCTTTCTAGCAAGAGAAAAAAGAAGGAAAAAAAATAATCCAGAATCTGATCCCTTCGCTTGCTCAGAAATAACTGGGAATCATTTTATCTGGTGCCTGATAAGCCAATATTGTTAATTTTGAGCTGGACTTGCCATTTTAAGGCAGCTCTTGAAAGCATGGAAGGTGCACCAGAAATTAGCAATAGTCACTGAAGCCCATGATGTATGTGCTTGCCTAAGTAGAAGCTAGCAGATAAACCATGCCTCAACCAATTGGGAAGGGAGTGAGGAATAACCAGTTCTCAGTGTCAGAGTGCATGAGGTGCTGACATAAAGACAAATGTGTTAACATTGGGAGGGAGAGATTAAATCAAAACACTTCCTCTTCCTCTAGAGACAGGAGCAAAGGATTTAATAAATTTCATATGATCCTCCAGAAGAAGCAACCTGTCAATACAAGTTAAACAATAGATATGAAAGTCATACTTGTGCTTTCTTGGGAGTATATAGCATGTTCTTGACAGCCTAGGTTATTATTTTTTGATATAGGGAGTAGAGTAGTCCCTGAGAAGGTTTTGTAAATTTCAAGATACAACTACTTAAGAGACCAAGGATTTAAATTCTTCATTGGCCATAGCTATGTAACTGGCATGTTTGGATTTACTTAGAGCTCCTGCTTTCTGATTTTTGACTTGTCTGAGTTAATGTGGAAACCTTGAGGAAACCTCTGTGCTACTGTGTATCTATCTGCTTCATTTATCACCAGCCTCCTTTCCTGTAACAATTTTGCTTGTAACTGTGGCATTATGGCCCTGTTTCCTTGGACAGCACTACAGGGATAATTTTCATGTGACTGGTTTGAAGTTCTTAAAGAAATTTGCTTAAAAGAGCTGAAGGATTCTTCTTTGAACAATTATCACTTGGCAGGGGGAGAGGTACAGCTCATCTTGTCACAGCAATTTCCAGTAGCAGCAGAATTGACCTTTTGTGCCATGTTTTTTTTTTTTGTGAAGTCCAGAAAACGTGTTCAAACCATCTAGAAAATCTTTTAAAATTAAGAGTTGTTATTCAAGATTGTTGGTTGTCAAACACTTTCAGCAGTAGCAAAGCTAAGCAGATGGTCTGTTGCTTCCATAGAAATGAGCACTTATTGGAAGCATCCTCTGTGCCTAACACTCTGCTGTTGCTGTGAGAGTTCATCTTTTCCAAATGAGAGAGATGAAGCTTCATACAGTTGTTGGGGCTGGCAGCTGGAGCTTGAAGTTGTGTTTCTGTAGATTCAAATGTTCTGTAGTCACTTGCTGAGATGCATTCCCTTTGTCCTAATACAGCTCTCAAAGTTTGTGGAAAATCAGAAGAAAATTTTGGGAAGTTCCCATTTGTTTTGTATGGTTCTGAAACTTCCTTTTTGCAGTCTGTTAGGAGTTTCGAGCAGTGATTCACCTAACTGGTACTTTCACTCTTTCTCTTAAGAAGTAGTTAAGTAGAAAATACTCACGAGTATTTTCTTTTCCATGTGTCTCCAAGCTGTAATGCCTCCCTGTACAATCCTGTAAAGGAAATAATCTTCAGGAACTTCAGAGCTGTATCACTTGCATATCCAGCAGCAGCAACTAAGGGAAAGGGAAAAATTCCAGCATGTGGCTGATGGGGTCTGGAAGCCATTGCTTTCAACCTGCACTGAAACCACAGCTTGCTACTCCTGCTTCCTCTCAAAGTTATTTTCTCTATAAGATTAGTAAACCTGCCTCAAAGTTAGGTTCTAACAGTTACAGTTAATCAAACTGCATGCCCAATAAAAGGATGTAATTGTTTGGTCAGGTCTTACTCTGAATCTATGAAGAGATCAGGAGAAAATGGTTGTTTATTTTCATACCTAGTTATGAGAATTACATTGTTGGGTTGTTTGTTGGTTTTTTTTAAAATGTGTTTACAAGATTGTAGATTTTAAGTAACTTCATATTGAAGACTCTAAAGGAATATATTTGTATTGATATAAGCTAGAACCTTTCTGGCAGGGTGCAACTGGTAGAAAAGCTGATCTGTCTGGCAGGTGTTCCAGTGAACTATTTCAGAAGGTGGTCTGGTGGTTATGAATTCAGATACAGTTTTCAAAGAGTGCAAGTGATGGGTTTTCCTTACTTATGCATTTATGTATT